TGTTGGATGATAGATGATGTTGGATGATAGCTGATATTGGATGATAGATGTTGTTGGATGATAGATGATGTTGGATGATAGATGATGTTGGATGAATCGAGGCTGAAAACAGAGAGGGGAGATCGACAGTTTGTTTTTCTTCATTACATGTAGTAAAGAAACCTGGAGAATGGCTGATGTAGTCTTCATTTTTATTCTAGGTTTCTTTCTAGACCTTTGAGATTTGACTGATCTTTCATAGTCTGAAAAAGAATCCACTCCTATTGATCTTAAGTGACAGCATCTTCATCGTGGAAAGTTTACTGAGACGCTTGTTCATCTCAGTCAAACATTCTCTGTTCATCCAAAACAATAGAATTTCCTGTTTAGGTATTTTTGTGTAGACGTCAATCAGGTACCACTTTACAATAAGGCTCCCCTTATAGATGCTAATAAATAGTTTATAGATACTTTATAATTCCTCTATAAATACTTTATAAATCACTAATAACAGCTTATTATGCATTCATTATCATTATACTGTCTATTGTTGTCACTGTTGTCCATTGTTGTCATCACTCTTTGTTGAAATCAGGTCTCTCTTGTAAATGAGTCCTCGAGGCTCAATGGGATTTACCTGTCTAAATAAAGGTTGAATTAATTAAGACAATTAATTAATCAATTAAATAATTAATTTATTAATTAGTAAACCAATATAATATTAGTTGTGGATACTTATAATGCCGTGATAAAGTACAATATTATATCCTAAAAAAATAGGTTTACAAATTCTTATTGTGCTTACAAGGTAGTAACTTATTCTGAAATGTTTAATATAACAACGCTAGATGAAATATATACGTGAACAGATTTGGCTCACTATTTGGCAAGAAACTGGTCAGTTTTGTCTCTTTCTCACCATCAAATAATGCATAATAAGCAGTTATTTATGATTTATAAAGTGTTTATAGGGGAATTAATAACATATCTATAAACTATTTATTCGCCATCTATAAAGGGAGCCTCAAAGTGGTACCATCATTCATTTTAAACCTAACTTATACAGTTTTTTTAACATCTGCTGAGACGAATGTTTAGGCATGTAAAATGCAAGGTTGAGTACTTGAGACGATCCAGCCTCCTGAATAACCCAGTGACAAGTCCTCAGACTTGTTATAGCTATTGTTGGATCCTGAGATCAAGACAAATTGATTTGTGATTGATATTAAAGTAGAAACAGAATTGAGGAGTCAGTAGTGAACAGCAGAACATCATCAGCATAAAGTGAGATTCTTTATTCAACAGATCCAAACTTGACACTTTTGGTGTGCTTTAATAGCTTCTTTAAGTGGATCAGGTGCAAATATTGAAGTTGAAAAGGTGCAGCCTTGGTGAGAACTTCTGTTCAAGTAGTAAGATACTGAATACAGAACTTTTTACTGAAACCCTTGGAAATATGTTGATCAAGTCAATGAATAAAATGAATAATGAATTCAATCCACACCTGCTCAGTGTCTCCACATTATAGAAAGACCTTAGTTTTGTCATTTCTGAAAATGTTTTACATTCAGAGCTGTTCAACATTAGTGTGTGGCCTATCCCTGATAAATCCTGTCCTGAAAAAAAAAAAAAAAACTCCAGGCAAACATAAACAGGCATATTTATCACCCGCTTCAGATGTTATCAGCCATTAAATGGCCGTTATTAGTTGTTATCGTCTCCATACATTGTATCTTTGTGGGTTTCATTAGCCAAATAAACTTTAAAAAATGTCCTATCAGAATTATGATGTGTTTTTACTAAGCTTCTTTTGGCTCTGTGAAAGAAATGCTGATGTAAATGAGAACTCTGATGAGGATTAAACTCCTGAATTGGTTTACAACCAAAGTACAATAACAACTCCACTTTTAAAAACGAACGACTGAAACAAATGTAGAGACAACGGTTGATAAAGCTGATAAATACTGGTGAAATCATAAAAACAAATTACACATATAACCGGGTGGACTTATATCCTCTTTCGATGGAATTAAACCTCCTCCTTCCTCATTAAAAGAAGCAGATGACTGTTAAAGCTCATTAATTCCTCCTACAGTATCAGAATTAACCAGGCAGTCCAGCTGAAGCTCTAAATGATCATCTATCACACACACGACATAGAGTTAATGATCTGTTTTTACTCTTTATTGAAGGGCAAACCAAGTGTTTAAGCCTGTTTTAAAATATTTAATCTTTATAATTCAACGAATAGTCCAGTCAACTTTGTGCAAATATTAAATGTGAAAAGTTGCAGCCTTAGTGAAGACTGCTGAAAGATACTGAATACCAAACGTTCTACCAGTTCTAGTCAGGACACATTGATCAAGTCAATAAATAATTAATTCAATCCACACCTGCTCAGTGTTTAACAACACAGACGTCCCAGGCCAGCCAAGAGACATAGTCTCTTCAGTGTATCCTGGGTCTCGTCCCAGTTGGACCTGCCTGGATCACCTCCCTTGGGATGTGTCCAGGGGGCATCATTGCCAGATGCCCATACCACTTCAACTGGTTCTTCTATGGGGAGGAACAGTGGCAGTACTCTGACCCTTTCCAGGATTACTGTACTCCTACCCCCATCTATAAGACAGGACATTAATCTTAAATCAGAATTTTGAGAAGAGTCCTAAAGTCATTGTTCAGGCTAGGCTAATGGCTAGCCAAAGTTTCAGATTATTAGTTTTTCAAGCTTATAAAACAAGACTTTTCAAAAAATGGCATGCCATCATGAATGAACACTAGCTAATATCGTCTAGACTTTCTCATGACACTATTTTAGTTTGTTGCCATTACAATGCAAATGCATGTGTGAAGCACTGACAAACTGTGTGTTCCAATAGAGCTGAAGTTTAATATTAACTAATGTAGCGTTCTTTCACACCAGTACAATGTTTTTAAGACAGAGTTGTTTTATAAACCTAATAAGTGCAAAAAATGCTGGTGCTTGTTTAGCTAGCCTTTAGCCTCGCTTTGACAAAAACTTTTGCCTTTCTCCACACTCTGTTCTCGATGATCGATGTCACGACTGATAAAGTACTAACTGATAACTATTGGAATGACTAAACATCAAAGTTTACTGGCTTTTCTTTATTTTAAATAGCTTTTGTCTTAGTGTTAAACACACTGGCTGGTTCATTCTCAGCTGAAGTTGTAGAAACAGCACAGAAACACTCAAAAAGGAGAAAAAAACAACACAGCTATCCCCCTACTCTGCAAAGCAACACACACACTCATACAGAAACTCACACACTCCTACTCTCGTTCAGTATGAGCAGCAGCAGAAAGAGCTTGTCAGACACCAGCAGCTCTCTTTGGGAAACTACCGGTTTGATGAATCTTTAACTATCAGACTGTATATGTACAAGTAATGTCCGGCACAGATAATGGAAGTTTTGATGGAGCGTCAGTGTTTTTTCTCCAGAGTCCGGGGTCAACGTCGCCTACCAGGAAACAAAACAAAGAGTCCACGGTCACGGTGAGTCCAGTTACCAACCCTTTAATTCACAGTCCAGTCTACCATGGAGCTCTGAGCTTCACGATAAACCTTAAAACTGTAACTCATGATTGTGTTCCCCAGTTGGATGTTCTGCTTTGTCCATTTTGCAGATGAAACCATTGGTATATTCCCATTTACAAATCTAATTTTGGCATTTTTCCTTCTTATCTATACACTTAAACAAAATTCAAATAATCTGCAACTCACCATAGGAATTGAATCCAAAATGAGCTGAATTTGACTCAGTGAGTGAATTTAAACTAATTCAGAATAGTTTAAATGCACAAAACATGTTTTGACTGATGAATATAAAGTAAAAAACAAAACAAAACTGTACATATATTCTGTAGATGATGATGTTTCAATTCAGTTTCAATTTTCTCAATTCAGAAAGTCTGGAGAGTGCGGGATTCCATAACTGTATTAGAGCAACTAACCAACCAACTAACTGACGGACTGACCTACCTGCTTTTATTTACATCATACATTACAATACCAATGGAGGAGGAGTGGCGATTCCCACATAAAGAGCATTGCAGTAGTCAAGCTTCGAGCTGATGGCATGAATGGCCTTTTCCAGGTCAAGACGATTTATAAAAAGCTTGACCTGGGTTAAAAAATGTAACTGAAAAAAGCTGGCCTTGTCTACAGAATATATTTGTTTACCAAACTTCAAACCCTTGTCAAAAGCCACCCCTAAGTTTCTAACTGCAGGTCTAAACTTGGATGCCAGAGCAACAAAGTTACAGGGCGCATCATCACCAAAAAAGATACACTCCATCTTTCCTTTGTTTAAATACAGAAAATTTTGGGTAAGCCACTATTCAATATCGTCAGTACAATCAAGAATCAAGTGTCTCTGTCCTGCAGATCAACTCTGTGACGTTTCCATCATTGGCCTTCATGTCTGAACAACAGCTGCTGAAACCAAACGAATGGAGCTACTGTGACTTTTTCTGGGTAAGTTGACTTCTGGTAGCACCATAAAGTGGTTGTACCTCTCGTAATTTACTGTTTTGAAGGCAGATAAAACTAGAAACACCAAGATGAGCAACCATTTCTGATAGATAAGTGCTGGCTTGCGATGTTGGAAATTTGATGGAATCAAACCCAAATCTGTTCAGACTCAAAGTGAATATTTGCCCCTTTTGAAGTAACACTGTTACTGAGGCTTCAGGTCGTTCAGTTAAATCTCTTTGAAGAACTTTAAATGCAAATGATATGGGACTTTACCACCAAGAAATGGGCATTTCCTCCTAAATGTTGCATATATAGAAAGTTCTCCTGAAGTAAACGGGAACTCCAAACTTCATTCCATCTAGACCACTGTTCAGGATTGTTTGTCAAGACATACAAAGGCGACAAAGGCGAGTATGAATTGAAACCCCTTCACACAGCCTCCTCCATAGCACAACACTTTCAGTAAGTTTAGACAGAAACTTTGTTCTTTAACAGGAATCATACAAGAGGATGAACTAACAACAAAGTAAACTTACCAAACAAAGGTTAAGGTAACATAGATCACATGATTCCTTAAGGTACGCTGAATGCGAGGCATCGATGCATTCTTATTTTATACAAAAGTGGAACCACATTTGTACAAAACTGGACTCTGCCAAGTTGGGCTGCCAGTTTCTTGTTTAAATCTCCATCGCGGAGCGAAAAAGGGGAATTGGAAATACCCTCTATCCATCCCATTCATGCATGTTGTGACCATGATAACTTAAAAAACAAGTGATGTACTAACTTCCATTTTGGTGTGTCGCTGCATCTAGTCGAAATGTTCCTTCAAAAACGGGTGCCACGTCAAAATACAAGATGGCTGCCACCATACATGTATATATGCTAACCATGTGAGTTTGAAAACTTGGTAAATAAGCAATGTGCAAACTTGAGTTTTGGTGTGTGGCTGCAACTAGGCGTAAGAAAGGTCACCATCGTACATGTGATTACCACGTCAAAATCTAAGATGGCTGCCACCATATATGCAATCTAGTAAAACTTGTGAGTTGAATAACTTGAAAAATAAATAACATGCTAACATCCATTTTGTTGGCTGCATCTTGGTATGAAAAGGTCCCTGTCAATTTTTTTTCAGTGTTTAGGAGAGCGCCCCACCCTGTCAACAGAACTGAGTGCCCCGCCTACCAAATCTCCCATGTAGTTCTGCTTTTTCCAGACGAGGAGCAGAGATTGTAACAGCTCAGATCAGACCTAGCATTTGTACAGTAACACTTCACTATCCCCCTGACAACTGCCGGCACTGGTTGGGCTCCCCTAACAGAGAACCGTGGGCAATACCTCGAGGATTTCCAGTGGTCAGCCAAGTAAACTAGACATAGGTTAAAGTTGTCCGTTGCCGAGATGGATTTCCATCATCTTATAACATGAGAAGTAGGGGAAAAAAGGTGTGTTTTGTTCGGATCTTTTTAAAACCATCCAATCTAATGATGAAACAGAGATCAAACTGACGCTGCTTTCAACAAATAAAGAACCAGAGTCACAGTTTGACCCAATCAGAGCAGGTCGTGCTCTCTGCTGCACGGCGGGTGATCACAGTGTTCCCAACTTAAGAGACAAATTGCAGGTGAGAGCACCAATCAGTGTTTCCTTGACTATTTTCCCAGGAGGACACCCAGCTTCCCTAATTGAAGACATGTAATAAATTATTAAACATCAATGTATTAAACGTATGTGTTTACACATGACCAATTCACTACAGCCGGGACGAGAGTGATACCAAAATGTACAAGCAATATAAAATATAAAAGCGATATAAAAACTAGAAAGCATAATTTCCTCAATTGATAGTGGTGGACATATATGGCTACCACTATCATTTGAGGAAACTATGCTTTCTAGTTTTTATATTGCTTTAAAAATAGTTTTCTCAAATGACTGTGGTGGCCAAAGAGTTATCTATGGTGGCCAAGGCCACCATTGCCCACCCCCTGGTTTCTCCACTGCACCTGGTGGTGGATCAAATTGCTCCCTCTACTCTCCAGGATCTGTCACTCTGCGCTCCCTCGGACAAATACACACACAGAAAATAGTATGTCATACTTTAACTTTTAGACACTGATGGTAACAAAAGGTGGACAGTGCCTGCAATGCGGTCATGGTAAGAAACATAAAATTATCTTTTTGTGATGGTTTGGTCAGTTTTGCTGACTTCAGCCTCAACATTCATAGTTCAAGTCTCAAAGTTCATATTTCAGAAGAATCTGTCCAGATGACCTGACTCAACTTTTACTGGATTCATATTTCAGTGTTTTGATCAGTTTTCTCTGTGTGTTCTCAATTAGTTGCTGTGTTTCTGTCTTCAGGCTGACAGGAAGGATTCCCAGGGAAACGGCTGCATCTCAGGATTTGAAGTTTTGGTGCAGAAACAGCTGAAGGGTAAACAGATGCAGAAAGAGATGGCCGAGTTCATACGAGAGAGGTATCAGCGTGTTATTCTGCCATCTCCAGTTCCTTTTTTTAAGGTTACCATGAAAACCATGCAGCTATCATTAAAAACAAGTCATTTCCTCCTTTCTCTTTTATGCACATCGTTGAGTTGCACAAGAAAGGAAACGCATACGGAAACCAAGTTGCATAAAAAGGCTGTGTGGTAATCACTCTGTTCTTCCCTCTCAGGATAAAGATAGAAGAAGAGTACGCCAAGAATCTTTCAAAGCTCTCCCAGATTCATCTTGGAGGACAGGAAGAAGGGTGAGTTGAATGTGAGACACCCCCCCCCCTAAAAAAAAAAAAAAACACTGTCACACACATGACTGTTCTTGGAAGTTTGCACAGGCTTTTGAGTTCTCAGAATGAAGCTGGTTTAGTTTCACTGACACCGTGGATTACATCTTTAATTATTTTTCTAATTCTGATGTTTAACTGCAAACTTGTTCCCAGGGAGGTCAAAGTTCAAAATCTCCTTCAATGAGCAGCTAGGGAACCGTTTTCAAATTATGTATGTACCACAAGACTTCTGGAATAAAAACCTAGGGACAGGTGAGACCAAAGTAGAGATGTTTACCCACAATGCATAGCATCATGTTTGGATAAAACCATACATAGCATACCAACTGTCAGCATGGAGGTGGAGGGCTGATGATTGGGGACTGCCTGAAGGCAGTCACCTATTATTATCCACCTGAAACAAGTCTTGCTCTTCTATCAACTTTAATGCAGCCCGAACCTCAACGTGTCCTCCCACAAATGTGGGCTCGCGCACAATGTGTGCTATTACTTGTGTTTCAAGTTACCACGGCGACATAATTTGTAAACAAAGATGCCATTTTTCCCATTGAAAAACACTGACAGATCTCTGAACAGCCTCTAACTAACACAGTGAGGTCACATGACCTAGAGTGAAGAGGTTGCTGAACAAAACACTGATTAACTCTTGGAGCCATTTTGGTTCAAGATGGCTGCCACATCTACCTCAGAAAACACAAAATTGACTATAACTCAGTCATTCTTTGAGATATTGAGCTGAAATTTAGTATGGTGGTAGCTGAGAGCAAATTGTTATACATTCCTAATACAAATTAAAAATCCAAGGTGGCCACCTTAGCTAAAAGAGAAACAAATATGATAACTCAGCTATTTTAAAATATATTGACCTGAAATTTGGTGTTATGGTAGTTGACAGTGATGCACAACACATTCTGAATTCAAATGTAAAAATGCAGGATGGCCACCTAAGCTAATTTCAAATTAATATAACTCATTTGAAATTTGGTGCATTGGTAGCTGAGAACGATCCCTAATAAACTCTGATTGCAAATCAAAAATCCAAGATGACCACCTGAGCTTAAAAGGAAAAATACGTTAAATCAGGCATTTTTAGAGGTATCAAACTGAAATTTGGTTTGGTGGTAGCTGAGAGCAATGCCCAACAATACATAGCAGTCAAATCAAAAAAATGTTTAAATGGCTGCAGTGTGGTAGTCCTCATCAAAGTTTCTCCAGGAAGTACACACAGATATACAGGAAGTACACACAGATATACAGGCTTGTTTTTATACTCATCAGTTCAGCCGAGCTCACAGACTTGGAGGCATCCTTGAAGCAACAGCTGCACACTGCAGCCTCATCCATCTCTCTCTGATAACCCAAACATACGGTTCATGGGCAGAGTTAACATTCTCAGCCATATTGGTAAAAACATCCATAAACTTTGACCAAAAATTCCCCAACAGAGTGGCAAAGAGAAAGCCACAGATTAAATCTTCACTAGATGTTGTCTAGAATCTTGACGAACTCTAGTGAAGATTCAACTGTTGTCAAGATTTATAATGAGGAAACTTTAGGGGATGTTTAAGGCCTTGGAAATCCTTTGTATCCATCCCCTGACCCGTACTTTTCTATCATCTTTTGTCGGCTTTAATTAGGAGAGTAGGGGGTGAATCTTTATGCAGTCGGTTTTTACATTTTACATTACATATTTTTATTTAATTGGTATTACTCTGTAGAAATTTGAATTCACTTTGACATTTAAGGTTGTTTTTATTTTTCTAATTTAGTTATGAAAAAAGCTTTTTAATTATTACCATGATTGATTTATGACAGCAGTAAAAGCATAAGACATCCTAGAGGTTTAATATTATTTATAAAAAATCCCTGAGAAAAAAAAATCTGTTAAATTAATGTGGAAAAACCTGACCACTAAAATGATACGAGGTGTTGTGATGTTAAAACTTACCAATATTAACTGATTTCTTGTGTTGCTCACGTTGGTTCACATTAGGAAACAGGAAGTTAGCAAACTCTACAACGTTTCTACTGTTAGATCATTACGTTCAACAGAAATGCTCGGGCTCAGTTTGTGCCTCACAGGCGTTCATGTTTTCATAAAATATCAACGAAAAAGACGTGGGAACCTGTGAAAGAGGTTTTAAAAGAGCCGCAGATTAACCTGCTTTAATGTAAGCTAACTCCTCTTCATGTGAACACAGGGTGGGTTGGACCCGTCTCATACAGAATCCAGATGATACCAGTCGGATCGGTCTGCCTGCAGCAACAAAAGTGCAGCACAGTGCTTTCATTATGCTCTCTGTCACACAGAACAATCAGTGATTTGTTGTTCAGTTCCTACCATCTGACCAGAACCGACCATCTATTTATTCCTGAATTTACTAATTGTTTGGTAGCTACCAGCTCTTCTCTAACAAATATGTCAAATAAAGGAAATACATGCAGCAGAATAATCTTGCTGTTGGTTTTTAGCTGTTAGTTTGTGGGGAGGACGGTTTGAGTGACATGGCTTTAACAGCTTACAATGAAAAGATTCAGGCACGTTTTCTTTAATTTTGTATATTTAAAGGTGAATTTATTGGGGACTGTCTAGAAAGGGTCTTCCACCCACCCTGCCTTCGGGGTGAGGGTGAGGTTCTGCCTCTAGTGGAGGAGTTCAAGTATCTCGGGGTTTTATTCACGAGTGAGGGAAAAATGGAGCGTGAGATTGACAGACGGATTGGTGCAGCGTCTGCAGTACTGTGGACTCTGTGGTGGTCCATTGTGGTGAAGAGGGGGTTGAATTGTAAGGTAAAAGTTTACCGGTCAGTCTATGTTCCTACCCTCACCTACTATGGTCATGAACTCTGGGTAGTGACCGAAAGATTGAGATCATGGATACTGGAGGTTGAAATGAGTTTCCTCTGCAGGGTAGATGGACTCTCCCTTAGAGACAGAGTGAGAAGTTCAGTTATCTGGGAGAGACTCGGAGTAGAACCGCTGCTCCTCCACATCGAGAGGAGCTAGTTGAGGTGGTTCGTGCATCTGGTAAAGATGCTCTCTGGGCACCCCCCTAGGGAGGTGCTTCAGGCATGCCTGACTGGGAGGAGAGCCTGGGGAAGACCCAGGGCACGTCGGAGAGACTCCGTCTTTCGGTTGGTCTGGGAACACTTTGGAGTCCTCCCAGAAGAGCTGGAAGAGGTGGCTGTGGAGAGAGATGTCTGGACTCCCTGCTCAAGACGCTGCCCCCGCAACCCGACTTAGGAGCAAGCGGAAGATAATGGATGGATGCATGGATGGATGGAAGGATGGATGGATGGATGGATGCATGGATGCATGGATGGATGGATGGATGGATGGATGGATGCATGGATGGATGGATGCATGGATGGATGGGAGGATGGATGGATGGATGGATGGATGATTGGATGGATGGATGCATGCATGGTTGGATAGTTGATAGATGGTTGATGGATGATGAATGGATGCATGCATGCATGCATGCATGATGAATGGATGGATAGATGGATGGTGAATGGATGCATGCATGCATGCATGATGAATGGATGGATGGATGGATGGATGGATGGATGGATGCATGGATGGATGGATGTATGTATGTATGGATGTATGTATGGATGAAAGGATGGATGGATGCATGGATGGATGGATGTATGGATGGATGGATGGATGGAAAGGCAGCCACCTATTATTTTCCACCTGAAAAGGGTCTTGCTCTTCTATCAACTTTAATGTGACCAAACCACAACGTGTCCCCCTGTCATGAACCAGAGGCCGGATCGCAAACAACAACAACAACAACAACCACTGAGAGGGTTAAAAGATTTATTGTGAACTAAAGTAGACTCTGGAGTTGGTCCGGTTCTGGGCTGGTTCCGATCCTCTGATTGGGTAGTGTTGTAGTGGCGGGCTGCCAGTAGAAGTAGACTGATGTTTAGGTCCACTGGAACGGAGTCCAACAGGCTTGCAATTAAAAGATAAAGGTTAGTAGATGCAGGGGGAAAAAGACTAATTGGGGAAATGAATCTGTGGGAATCAGATTCAGGGGTAAGGATAAGTCCGTGATACAAAATGAGCTTGACCTTTAATCCGTGATCCATAAAACAGTCAGAAGGGAAAGGCAGAGTTCATACCGTGAAGTCAGTTGTTCAGCAGAAGTATCCAGTACGTGATCCAAAGAGAGAGTCAAAAAAACAAGAGCATGAGTCGGTACCTGATCAGATGAGCAAAAGCAGACGAGGGCTGAGGCAAAAGCGTGGTCGTGGTCAAGGCAAGGCAAGGGTCATGAACGTGATGAGTCAATCAATGGAATGCTGGAAGGTCTACTGCTGATGAGACAGGATAGAGAATCTGGCCCAGACTGAGAGGAATGAGTGAGCTTAAGTATTGACTGGACCAGGTGGTGGAGCTGTGGGATAATGAGCGGTGACAGGTGACATGAGTTGAGTGATTACTGAGTGTGCAGCATGACAGAGGAGCTGACAGAGAGCAGAGCTATGACATCCCCCAACAAAAGTTATATCAACACGACCGGCTTGGTACTGTGATGTGTGCTATTACAGTACTTTTATTAGAATTATGAGTTACGATGGCGATGTAATTTGTAAACAAAAATGCCATTTTTCTCATTGGAAAACACTGACAGAACTCTGAACAGCTTCTGACTAGAGGCCTAGAGCGGAGGGATCTCTGAACAAAACTCAGTATGTCATCAAACAAACTCCTCCTACCATCACATCTTTTAAGGTACACATAAATATTATATATCAAAATGCAGATATTTTTATTGTCTTTCCATCAGCATGTCTGGTTGGACTGTGAAACATGGATTTTTTGTGAGGTGCCTCACAAGGCAGAGTGCAACCATTCATCACCTAAAGCTACATTTAAATGGCTTTAACTCAGCTACAATTACACATACAGAGCTGAAATTTGGCGACAATATAGCTGAGAATTTTCCCCATCTTATACAGAATTCAAGTCAATAATCTAAAATGGCTACCATTGCTTAAAAGAAAAAAATCACTATAACGCATTGATTTTTATTTTTTTGCCATATTGAGCTGAAATTTGGTATGATGGTTGCTGAGCGTGAACCCCACATAGTACTGTCAAATCGCAATTTTAAATGGCCATAACGTGTCAGTTGGTTGGGCAAACTCCCACGCACCCTCCAAGACCCTGCTGAGGGTGTAGAGCTGGTCCAGTGTTCCACGACCAGGACGAAAACTGCACTGCTCCTCCTGAATCTGAGGTTCGACTATCCGACGGACCCTCCTCTCCAGAACTCCTGAATAGACCTTACCAGGGAGGCTTAAGAGCGTGATACCCCTGTAGTTGGAACACACTCTATTCTCTATTCTATTCTATTCTCTATATTCTATTCTTCACTCTGTTCCATTTTAACCAAATACAGAAAAACTTTCTCATCTCATATTTGTCTCTGTGAGTTTTTAAAAGGAAATTACTTCAAAGTTAGCATTTTTTAAATAATAAAACTGCAACTTGGTGCCAGAAACGACTCTTCACACTCAGACATTTTTCTGCCTTCACACTAGAAGTGAACACTTCCTCTTCTGCTTGTTTGCATGTGAATTTAGTTGCTTAGCAACAAAATTAACTGTAAATAAAGATGTAAACAATGCAACTAAGTTCATAGGAAATATGTGAATTTATGCCATCGTTGCTTTTAAATTTACATCTGTAATTGAGAAAACAAAACAGTCAAACGTTTAAGAGGCTGAATGTAAAATGAAATAAATCCAAAGTTCTAATGTGTTATGGCCTATATGGCACATAGTAATGCTATATAATGTTAACGGTGCTAAAATGTGTCCATTAATCAATCCATTTTCTTTACCTGCTTCTTGGCTAAAGAGAAGCTGGTGCCGATCTGCAGGCAGGTACAGTCTGGACAGGATGCAGCCGTAGGTCACATTCAATTATAACTTTCTGCATTTTGCAAATTGATTGGACATGACATCAAGGGTAAATTTAGAGGTTTTATGAATGTTCTGTTGCTTTTCTTGCTCATTTACAAATTAAGCTGTGAACTTATAGTTGTTTTCAGACTCAACAATTGAAAACTCGAGTTGTAGGAATGGGTTTTGTCTCTGATTTCATTTGAACTGCATTCTGAAAAACAATCCCAAATTAACTCTAGCCAGGCTTTTTTGTTTAATTCTTCAGTGTTTGCGTTATAATTTTGTAGACTGGTATCATAAATACGACTGATGGTTGCTCATATAAAGACACATTTTAATGCCCCGTCGTCGAGCAAAATGGGGGAATTTGAAATATCCTCCGACTGTCCGTTAGTTCGTCCATGTGTCCATCCGTCCTTGTTGTGAGCATGATAACTTGTAAAGTAAGTAAGGTGCCGACTTCCATTTTTGTGTGTGGCTACATCCAAGCATAACAAAGGTTCCTGTCAAAAATAGGGATCCACATCAAAACACAACATCCACCACACCCATCAGTTGAGGAAACTTTGCTTTCAAGTTTTGATCTTGCTTAAATTGCCCTTGTCATGGATTTTCTACAAATACAAAAAGTGAAAGAAAACATCTTAATATTTAATAAATTTAGCACAATATATGATTGCATTTTGTCCCATAACTGGCATATTTCTTTTGAACTTGGTGCAGCCAAAGTGAAACAGGAAGTGACATCAAAGGGAACTGCCTGGTTGTTGATTATTGAAACGTTATTTGAACTCTGACTCTTCGTCGTCTCTCTGACTCTCTAGTGACCCAAAAATAATCTAAAGAAACATCACATTATTCTCTACCGTCTGTGTTGTTAGCCAGTGTAGCAACGCTCTGTTTACACGCAAGCATTCCCCTTTGACATCACTTCCTGTTACTGCACATGTGAATATCTCAACAACTGTTCATCTCAGCAGCATAAAATTCATTTAGCATTACATTGTTAATGTTATCTTGACAAAAATGCATTCATATTTATTACAAAAATTTGATGTCACAGGCACTTTAAAAGTATAGTTTCCTCAAATGATTGGGGTGGCCAAAGATTTATCTTTGTTGGCCAATACCACCATTAGCCTCCCCCTGGTTCTACCATTGCATACTTTAATATTGGCATACTGTACTTGTTTGTATTGGTGCGTCCAGGGGTTCCACACACTGAATCAACCACTGTACACTGCATCTTCTCATCTGATCAGTGGATCAGTGGATCCAGTCTACATGCATCACAGGATCCCTTCCATTGGCACGGCTGCTACTGTAACAAAGATGCTATAAAAGTAAGAAAAAAAAACAAAGCCCACATTTCTTTACAATGTTGCTCAGGTGCACTGATGTTTGCTGACCTTTGTTTCTGAAGGTCCCACCACAGCATTTCAGTCAGGTGACATTCTGGACTTTGAACACTGAAGCACCTTGATTCCTTTTTTTTCCAGTGGATTTGTTGTAGATTAGCTGCTGTTTTGGGATCATTGTTCTGCTGATCTCAGATCTGCTCGGCAGCTGGTATGAGGTTTTTGATGCTGTGCGTTTTGAGTCAACATCTCCACTTTGTCCTCATCTGTCCAAAGGACATTTTTTCTGTCTTGTGGTTCGTTCAGCTGCAACTTTACAAACTAAAGTTGTGCTATCGTGTTTTTAGAGAAAATACTTTTTCTGCCACAACCCTTCCAAATGTAGGGGTGCACCGATTGCAGGTTTCTGGCTGATCACGATCTCTAATAAGTCTGACCTGTCGATTCAGATTTTGGCCGATACCGATTTTGTTTTATAAGCGACACTGTCAGGTGTTATAAGGTCACAATGCACCTTCAATTTTCCAATCTTATTTTAATGAAAAACATACCCTTGAACAATATCCTAGAAACAGTACAAACTTGTTTTAACTGACCATGAAGTGGTGCTCTGAAATATAAATGAAGTTTAGACAATTGTTGTTAAAACTAAAAATATCAGTAAAATCGGTTTCTCATCTAAGTATTGGACGACATCCCAAAATTAAGGAAATTGGCCGGCAGATTTATCGGTGCACCCCTACAAATGAGCAATACTTGCTCAGTCTTTTTCTTATTATCCTGTAACAACCTTTAACTTTAACCTCTAACTGAGGCCTGTAGAGTCTGTGCTGAAGCTGGCTGGGTTTTTGCCAATTTTTTTGAGCATTGCACTGTCTGACCCTGGGTTGAATTACTGGAATGTCTGCTTCTGGGAAGGTTTGCATCTGTCCTAAATAATTTTTATTTAAGTGAAAAGATGAACTCTAAATTATTTGTAAGTGACCTTTCACCCTTCCTAGATTCATAAACAGCCACAGCTGCTTTTCTAAGGTAATTGCTGTTGTCTTTCCTTCTTGGCGCTGTGCTAAAGAGGGTGGACTTTCTTTTTTCTCATGCCTACACTGATCTACAATTGCTGGTTTTGTAGTTCAGACAAAGTTTCAAATAAACCATCTCAAAATGAACCGTAAGAAGGTTTTCCTTCAGTCAGGGAGCAGTCAATGTAGGATTTTAACCCTTCAGAATTTTTAGACTCTTTCTGTGGACAAAGCTGGGCTGGAGCCAGGCTTTTCCCACACAGCGTCAGGAATGTTTTGGATGTCAGATTGAGGGAATTCCACACGTGTCTCCCATTTGAAACGAAGCTTTGAAGTGATCCGCTCACCCTTTAAGACCATCAGTCTTGGACCCTGAAGCCTTTGCTGGCTCATTGTTTTATTGTCTTCAGGTTGACGAAACACAGAACAGAGACGTCCGGTCAGTAAGTTTTTATCTCAGCCGAGTCAAATGTCCGGCTCGTTAGAAAGACTGTGTTGAAGTCTCAGCTGAGGGAAGACGTGTCATCATCTGTTGAGCTGGACCTCAGTCCTCATGATTTACTGGCTGTTTGGATCAGGTTTATCTGTGTGCGGCGCTCTGTTTGAACCTTTTCATTGCTGTCTGCAGGACTTTGGGAGAAGCTTGGGCTCAGCTCAAAAAGAGCCTGGCAGACGAAGCCGAAGTTCATCTGAAGTTTTCTTCAAAGGTAAACCATCTTAACAACAAAAAAGGTTAAATCGTGTCATCTGGACCAGTTTCTTTAAGTGAGAAACGTGTTGTCCCCCATTTGTAAACCATCTTACTTTTGCTTATCACTAATTAGTCATAAGGCTCCTGATCCCAGTTAAACAGGGACGTCAGCATCATAGCTGACATTTTGTTGGCTTTATGATTTTGTTTCACTCAGATCATGCAGGAGAACTGAGAGAGCTCTCTGAACTTTACTTCACTACTCCTGATATCTTTAAACAAATGAATCGACTGCATTTATCCAGTCTGAATGGCATTCTAATGTCCTAGCTTTATATCCTGGTGAGGTGGATCAGTGAGTCGATGTCTCCCACATTTTTTGGCATACAGCTTGATATGATCCATGTAGAGGAGGTGACTAATGATCGTTCAACGATGGGACTGGTACAGTATCCATGGCCACTCTTTGCAATGGTCTGGCTGAGGGGGGTTCAGGCCTTTGCAGAACAGGAGTGGAGACAGTGTCTCACCTTGGTATACGCCACATTTGATGCTGACTTGTGCAATTAACTTTGAACTAGTTTTAAAGATATTGAGATAAAATTTATTTTTGCTAGTAGCTGTGAGACTTTAACACTTCTTCTAAATGCTGCTACTAGGTCTGTCTCGATAACAAATTTTGCTGGGCGATTATTTGTCTCAGAAATTATTGTGATAAATGATAATATTGTTTAAAATTTGACAATAATTAGTAATTATTGTCAAATTTTAGAAGAAATGTTGGTCAATTTTATTTTACATATAGTACCTTTTTTTGACCACCGGATGGCAGTATAGGACTGTTTGAACCAAAGGATGGATAGTGAGGGAGAGAGCAGTGTCTTTTTAAGAAAAATGGGAGGGAGACCACTTGACGAGACATGGGCTGTCTCTCCTTCCTTTTTTTTTGGTTCTCAAAATGGCGGACGCCTGGTGGTTTGTGCTCTTTAGCATAGCATTTTTCACACAAAGTGTTTAATAAAACATCAGTAAACAAGTTCTCAGCTTCTTTTTGCAAAGAAAAACAACTTTTTACACAAAGACACGGGTTTTAACCATGAATTTTGGAGCTTCGACAAGACGTTTTTTTTTTTTCCGAGGTCAGAAAACTTAGCTCATAGCTTAGCTTCTCAGCTTAGCTGCTTTTAATGATCCAAAAACGCAATTTTGGATGGTTAAAACGGATTTTAAAGAAAAGAGAAAAAAAGTGAAAGGGAGGGGTCAGCTAAGAGCACCGGACTTGAGCCTTTTGTCATCCAGTGTCTTCAGTAGAAAGAGACATGAAGAAGCGATAAAGCCGATAAATGAAAATGAAGTCGAAAATTTTCATTTATCATGCGATTAATTGATTTATTCTTTATCGTGACAGGGATAGCTGCTACATTATCCAACGGCTTGCATTGTCACAGGACATCACACATAATGCTATGAAAGGTTTGACCAAAAGTTGCATAGCTCGTTGTTAAATCATAATCTGTAACTCACAATCCACAAGTTGTTTTTGGATATAAGAACATCTTAATGTAAAACTTCAACATGACATGATATGCATTCTTGTGGCCTTTAAAGTTAAATTAGTTCCACTTTAAGCTCATACGTTCTCACTTATCACATATTTCAGAGAAAAAAGCTGAGATGTAAAGCGTAGATTCGAGTACACTGCCTGGACAGATGAAGGGTGATATAGTGGGCCATATAATGCTCCAGATGTGCAGCATTCAGCCAGATGACAGAGAACAGAGGAAGGATCTGGGTGGAAATGATGGGTCTGAGAGGGACTGCAGGAAGGAGCTGCAGAGCTCATTCATTCCTGCCAGCTGGGAGTCAAACCTCACATCACTGATCAGGACCATCAGTCTGATGCTAACACCAAATAAGATCTAAGCTGCTGATTTTAGAAGTGTTTTACTTTCAATAATCAACTTATACATTTGTATTTTAGATCATATTCCAGTGAATTCTTCACCACCTTTCTGTTTTCTGAGCAGCTCCAGAGTGAAGTGGAGAAACCTCTGCTGGTGTTCAGGGAGAACTTTAAGAAGGACATGAAGAGGTTCGACCACCACATCGCCGACCTCAGGAAGCAGCTTGTAGGTCGATATGCCACTGTGGAGAAGGCAAGACAAACCTTGATCCCCTAAAAAGTACCGCACCGAAGCTGCTATGGGTCTATTTAATTATTCTGAGTAGAATTTGTCCTGAGAAGTGTCCGTCAGATCCGTCCTTCTGATAGATTCATGTGTGTTTAAAACAAAACTCAGCAGATTTTCAGGACAGAACCATCACTCAGGCCTGGTTCAGACCTGGCGCTAATATCCATCTTGACTTGATTGCAACCTCGGATTAAGAGCATTCACACCTGGCAGGTGACTGCACAGCCCAAACATCACGCAGTGGGTTGCCAGGTGTGAATGTCATTATTACTTTGGCATTAAGGTGATTCAGAATATTGGAGTCAAATTTGTTGTAGAATTATTTAGGACACAACTCTTGATCAGCTTAATTACCTTTCAGAAAATAAAGGAACTTCATTAGGAATGTGCAAATTAGTAAAATCAAATCACAAAACACTTGCCATCCTCTGCCACGGTTTTCCAAAATGCTTTGGAGTCAAGGCCATCTTCCTTCTGCAGGTCATAGTACGTAAACAGCGTCCATTTGGTCTAGCTCTGTCTGAACTGAAGAAAAATTAGAGATGTATTTCCTGTGAAAATGCAGTGTGAATGCTTATTGCAGTACTTGCTGAAAAACAGCTGAAATTAGCTAAAAATAAATTCTGAAATATAGATGAAATGAAAGAACAAGCCTAAATTAGCAGAAGAAAGCAGAAAGAACACATATGTGCTCAATTAGGCTGAAAGAAACAAAAATGAGCACAAAGAAGTGGAAATTATCTGAAAAAAGAAGAAATTTACAACAAACAGCTGAAAGTAGCTAAAAAGACAGAAAGAAGCTTAAATTACCAGAAAGAAGTGGAGAGAGAACAGTTTTGCTGAATTAGGATGAAAAAGTTTAAATGAGTGCAAATATCATGGAATTAGCTGAAAAAGCTCAAATTAGCATGAAACAGATCAATAGTAGCTGAAATAGCAGAAAAAGCTGAAACTAGCAGAAATCAGCTGAAAGGAGCCTAACTCAAAGCTGAAATTAGCAGAAAAATGTTAGAAGAAGCAAAAAAATATAGTTAGCAGAAAGAATCGGAAAGGAGAACAAAACAGCTGAAAGAACAGCTGAAAGTAGCTGAAAAATGTTTAAATTAGCAGAACAAAGCAGAGTGTCTGCGGGGTCTTGAAAGTTATTAAAAGTTGATAAATCAAATTTGGGAAAATTAAGGGTCTTGAAAAGTATTAAAAAGTCTTGAAAGCGATTTGATGAGGTATTATTTTTTTTGCTGTTATTCTAGCTTTAAATAATTTGACAGCAAAAAGTATGTATGACTAATTGTTTTCCTCACCGCGGAGGATTCGGAAACTGCTTCGCACAAATTTAGAGTGTCAGGTTACAACAGCCTTAACGGCTAGGCCTATCTTGTGCGCATGCGTGGCTGCTTTGAGTCTGTGTGTTCGAGTAAGTTGCCGCGAGACCGTGAGAACAATGGGTAAATGCAAGTTTTTGGACTCCTGGTTGGAGATGCCTGATTTTCAAGAATGGCTGAGGCCTGTCGCCGAGAATAACCGCGAGGCTTATTGTACATTTTGTAAAAAAAAGATGAGCGTAGCCTCGATGGGCATAAACGCCTTGAAGTCCCATATGACTGGAGCTAGCCACAAAAGTGCAGCTAGCCGCAAAACGCAGATGTCTATCAGCAGTTTCTGTGCTCCACCAGCGACAGCGCTTCCAGCTAACCGTGTACCTGAACCAACCAAAGCTCCCTTGACACTGTCTTCTGCCTCTCCGTCTGCCGACATCATGGTGACCATGGGCAGCACACCAACACTGCGTGCAGAGGTGATCTGGTGTCTCCACACTGCGGTGAATCACCATTCTCTAAATTCCAACGAAGGCATATCGGACGTTTTTAAATCAATGTTTCCAGATTCGGATATAGCCAGAACATTCACTTGTGGCAAGGACAAAACGGGTTACATCTTGCGATTCGGGCTTGCACATTTTTTTAAGCAGGAGCTCGTTGACAGTATTAACAAAGCTGGCCCATTTGTGTTGATGTTTGACGAGTCTCTGAACCAGTCAACTAAAAAGAAACAGCTGATGGAGGCTCTGAGGTTGATCTGCGACAAGGTCAGTGTCTGTGGGGGTGTTCTGCAGGTACCTCTGACCAAGGAGCTGCTGGCTTCTGTTGCCTCTGCAAGGTCAAAGTACAGGATTTACCTGGAACAGCAACGAAAGAAGAAAGAAACTTCCACACAGAGCCTTAAGAGGAAAGCAGCTGGAGCTGAGTTAGAAGAGCTGAAAAAAAAGAGAAAACTTCTACAAGAGGTGTGCGATTCTCTGCAAAAAGATGCAGATCAGTTGGCAGAGCAGGCAGAGGGAAAGTCAGGTTCTTTAATGGCCCAACTGATCACCAAGTCCAATGTCTTGAGAAGGAGACGTAAAGAAAAACTCAGTGAGCTGGTGCAAACTGAAGAGTTGCTGGAATGCAAAGCAACTGCACTGAGGCACATGTAATGATTACTGTGTTTATTTCTTATTCGCCATTGTTCAACCAAGTTACTTTAAAATAACTACGAGTCTTGTTGTAACCTAAGCTATATTTTCTTAAACCTAGTCGTGGTTCAGTTTCTTCTTTTGAATTTTTTTCTATCCACTGTATCTCAGTTCTGTTGTAGGTTTGAGATTCACGGATTTAATTGAAAACAACAGCAGTTTTGTAAATCAAAGATTTGTTGCTTAATAAAACAAAGTGACGATAAGGTCTTGAATTTATTTTGGAAGGTCTTGAAAAAGTCTTGAAAAGGTATTGAAATTAACTTCATTATTCCTGCATATACCCTGGAACACATATTTGCTGTATTAGGTTTAATTAAGCATAAATGAACACAAAAAATAGCTTTAAAAAAGCAGTAATTGGGGGGGGGGGGGCTGCGAAGTAGCTGAAAAGGCAGAAACTAGGCGTAAACTACCAGAAGGAAGCGGAAAGAACTGAAATGAGCTTTAAAAAAAAATAGTGGAATTAGCTGAAAAAGTTAAAATTAGCTGAAAAAGAGCTAAATAGTAGCGGAAATAGCAGAAAAAAGTGAAACTAGCAGATAAAAGCTGAAAGGAGCATAACAAGCTGAAATTAGCATAAAGATATTAATTAGGCTGAAAGTAGCAGAAATTAACATGAAAAACTTGAATTTATCTGAAAATAGCTGAAATTTGCTTAAAAAATGCTCAAAGGCTAGATGAAAAGTTGGAAAAAGCTTAAATTAGCAGAAGAAAGCAGAAAGAACATGTTTGCTCAATTGGGTTGAAAGAAGCAAAAATGAGCACAGAGAAGTGGCACATTTGTAAAAAGAAGAAATTTGCTATAAAGTAGCTAAAAAGGCAGAAAGAAGCTTAAATTACCAGAAAGAAGTGGAGAGAGTACATTTTTGCTGAATTAGGATGAAAAAGTTTAAATGAGTGCAAATATCATGGAATTAGCTGAAAAGGCTACAATTTGCGTAAAACAGCTAATAGTAACTGAAATAGCAGAAAAAGCTGAAATGAGCATAACAAGCTGATATCAGCAGAAAGAAGTTAGAAGAAGCAAAAAAAAAATGTTGTAGTTAGCTGAAAGAATCTGAAAGGAGCAAAAAAAAAAAACAGCTGAAATGAACTTAAAGTAGCTGAAAAATATTTTAATTTGCAGAATACTGCTGAAAGAAACTGAACCAGAACAGTGTGAAAAGAGCAGTAAAAGGTTGTAAACAAATGGCTGAAATTGTGTATGATAGTAGCTGAGAGTGAACCCCAACTTATAGTACTGTCAAATCAAAATGTAAAATGGTCACAACATGGCAGTCCCCATCAAAGTTTCTCCAGGAACTTTCTATCTGTAAGACTCGCTGAACGATCCTGAACAGTCCTGATTCTGACTGACCAAGACGTTCAACCAGAAAGTTATCTGAAAGCAATCTGATTGCTCAACATGGATGTTGTTGCCAGGTGTGAGTGAGGTCTTAGTGATGCATTTTTACAGAGTTTGTTTTGTCACTGATGGATCAAGGAGGAATCAGCAGTATGTGTTTAGAAGAACAAAGCTTTGCTGTGTGATGCTTTGTGCAGTAGAATATTTACCACCTTTTATTTGTTCGTTTCTGACTTCAGTTTCTCGTCCCCTGCAGGCCCGTAAAGCTCTCAGTGACAGGCAGAAAGAGTTGGAGTTAAAGACCCAGCAGCTGGAGACGAAGCTCAGCAACAAGAACGAAGAAGAGATCAAGAAGGCTCGCAGGAAGTCCACACAGGCAGGTCAGAACCGGGGTCGGTCCGGGGTCACAGTGTCAGTGTTTGAACTGTTCGCACTCAGGAGTCTGTGGCTGAAAGATCTGATTCTGTTTCTGCTCCACTGAAGGAACTCTTTGGACTGGACTTGGTCAACTTTGATTATTTAAGTCTGATTTATTCTGATTTGACTAAAGAGCCAAACTGAGCATGATAAACCTTCATCTTCTGTAGATGTTGGTTCCCTCTAGAGCACATGTGGGCATGGAGCTCCATGGGTGGACATTAAATCAGATTCCTCCTCCAGTCTTTGGACTGCTCACTTGAGAGAGTCTGTGAACCAAGTTTTTTTTTTTTTGTTTATCTTGTCTTTGTTTGTTTTATCAGTGCTTTGAGCCAGACTGGGATTTTATTTTAAAGTTTATTAATTCTGAAGCGAAGCAGGCAGTAGAGGGAAGAAGAACGGTGAGAAACAGAAATACTTTCTTCACCATAAGTCTGCCAGCTTCTTGTGTGTGTGCGTTTTTGTTTCGGGTTACTTTGTAGGAACCAATTTTACAAAAAATCATGCATTGTGGGAACCAACTGCTTCTTATGGGGACCATAAGGAGAAGTCTCGTTGGGGGTTAGGTTTAGGGTAAGGGTCAGGGTCGGGCTATAGAAAATGAATGCAAGTTAAATCAAAGTCTCCAGAAAGAATGTTTACAAGAAAGTGTGGGTGTGTGTCTTTTTATTTGTTACATTGTAAGGCCCATTTTTCCAACTTATACTACATTGTGAGGACCAACTGCTCCTTATGGAGCCCCATAGGGAGCAGTGCCATTGGTGGGTTAGAGTTACCAGGCCTCTCATGCAGTTCTATAAAGTTTGGAGCTCCACACACTTCAGATATTTTAAGATTGATAAATCCTCCCGGAGGGGAAGCAAAATGTCTTCATCTTAAGAATATAAGTCCAATTGTTTTTGTTTTTTAACCTTTTTGCGAAGCGATTTACCATGAACTGTACGACTGAGGATCTTCACCAACGTCTGACCATGGATACGTGGATGGATGGATAGTTTTCGTTCTTTTCCTTTCCTCTTTGTGTTCCCCTCTTCCCTACAGTTTAGTATTTTATTTTTTCTTTATTACTTTAAAGGAATATGTTCAGATCTCACTTGTCACAATATTCACATCACGTGCACCACAGTATGGCAGCACTGACGGGAGCTAAACTTCAACTCGCTCTTTTTTTGTTCCTGTTGTTTTTGTTTTGACTTTTTTGCGCCTACACTGTACACCCACACTACGGGTATGACCATGACACACTTATGGAGTTTTGTGTGTTGCTGCCTTGCCATCCTGCCATTGTGGTTCAGTTCCTGACCCCCTTCCCGCCTCGAGCTCAGGCTCCGGCCTGTCATTGCAGCCATCTCCATGATCCTCCATCTGCCTGCACGGACCAAACTGTACGGAACAGTTTGGTTCCATGGGGAAAATGTTCTGTCTGCTGGACCCGGTTCTGGATGGCAGTCATCGTTCGTTGCCGGGGTTATTATTATCATCATGCTGCTAACGGGATTGTGCTGCTAACAGTACCACACTGCTAATAGTACCATTCTGCTAACAATATCATTCTGCTAACTGAACCACACAGCTAACAGGACCGTGTTGCTAACAGGACCATGTTACTAATAGGATTGTGTTGCTAACAGGACCATGTTGCTAACAGGATCATGTTGCTAACAGGACCATGCTGCTAACAGGACCATGTTGCTAACAGGACCATGTTACTAACAGGATTGTGTTGCTAACAGGACCATGTTGCTAACAGGATCATGTTGCTAACAGGACCATGCTGCTAACAGGACCATGTTGCTAAAAGGATCATGTTGCTAACAAGACCGTGTTGCTAACAGGATCATGTTGCTAACAGGATTGTGTTGCTAACAGGACCATGTTGCTAACAGGATAATGTTGCTAACAGGACAGTGTTGCTAACAGGACCATGTTGCTAACATGATCATGTTGCTAACAGGATCATGTTGCTAACAGGACCATGTTGCTAACAGGACCATGCTGCTAGCAGGACCATGCTGCTAACAGGACCATGTTGCTAACAGGACCATGTTGCTAACATGATCATGTTGCTAACAGGATAATGTTGCTAACAGGACCATGCTGCTAACAGGACCATGTTGCTAACATGATCATGTTGCTAACAGGATCATGTTGCTAACAGGACCATGCTGCTAGCAGGACCATGCTGCTAACAGGATAATGTTGCTAACAGGACCATGTTGCTAACAGGATAATGTTGCTAACAGGACAGTGTTGCTAACAAGACCATGTTGCTAACATGATCATGTTGCTAACATGATCATGTTGCTAACAGGACCATGTTGCTAACAGGACCAAGTTGCTAACAGGATAATGTTGCTAACAGGACCATGTTGCTAACAGGACCATTTTGCTAACAGGATAATGTTGCTAACAGGACCATGTTGCTAACAGGATAATGTTGCTAACAGGACCATGTTGCTAACAGGACCATCTTGCTAACAGGATCACATTGCTAACAGGATCATGTTGCTAACAGGACCATGCTGCTAACAGGACCATGTTGCTAACAGGACCATGTTGCTAACAGGATCATGTTGCTAACAGGATCATGTTGCTAACAGGACCATGCTGCTAACAGGACCACGTTGCTAACAGGATCATGTTGCTAACAGGACCATGTTGCTAAGAGAACCTCACTGCTAACAGAACCACTCTGTTAATAGGACCATGCTGCTGTAGATGTTGTATCTTTTTTCACTTTTGGTGCTTTGTTTTGTACGTTTGTTGCATGCTTTGGTATTTCTTGTTTTTGTTTTGTTTTTGGGCGAGTTGAGACAGTTCTTCTCGTCCAGAGCATTTCATTGCATTGTTTACTCATATAATTCCTCCCACTTGTTATTTCTCACATTCCTTCTTCACAAATGACCATGGTTATTATTTAAATATACATTTGGGTAAAAGGGAAAAATGACCAAACACAGGGTTAGAATTCTACATATTTTAATATCATATGTCACAATAATGTTGCCCTTCCCTAAATGAACTAACATGTTCTCATAGTTAACCTCTGAATAACTACTGATTGGAAGAAGGCTATTTATTTATTAAAAAAATAAAAAATCATATATTGGCTTCAGTAAAAAAGCCAGAAGGAATCATGAATGTACTTTATTTAGTGTTTCATTATCACGCTTCACTAAAGGCAAAACACGTTTAAATGAACGTCTCAGGTTGTAATTGCTAGATGTCCTAATTTATTTATTTTTATTTGATGGTTGTTTAATCAGCTAATTATTAACAGCTGTACCGTCAAACAGAACATCAAAAAACATGCTTATTACAGGACAATGCACAAAACTTTCCCTCAAAACTGTCTGAGACAACCTAAACTGATGTTGGAGTAAATTAAAACTATTAAAAACCCGAACGAACTCGTCTCTGTGGGCAGTGAGACTCAGTGAAGCAGCAGCCCGGTCCGTTTCTTTCACCTAATAACTGGTGTACGACTCCAGGAAAGGAACTCTGAGTAAACAGATGTTAAAAAGTTGAACTAGCTCAACCGCATGCGGTCACATGACAGCCCTCCTCCCTGCTGTTTATGGAAGAAGGAAAACAACATCATGAGTCGTTGACAGTGCTGATGGAGTTTGGCTGCCAGAGAGTGCCCGAGGAGAGAATGATGCCAAAACAGCTAAAACATGAGACAGGTCTCACCGTCTCATTATCACTCCATGAACTCGTCAATTACACAAATCACTTTGATAGGAAACTCAGCTTTTACTGGCCGAGAAGCATTGAAGCACGTTAGAGGCTGATCTACAGTAACAGCAGCTCAAATGGGTTTTTGTCTCAGTTGCAGATGAAAGGGGGAATTGGAAATATTCTCCGTCCATCCATCCGTCTGTCTGTCCATCCATGCATGTTGTGGGCATGATAACAAATAAGTCAGGTACCGACTTCCATTTTTGTGTGTGGTCACATCTAGGCATCAGAAAGGTTCCTATCCAAATATAAATATGTTTAATCTTTCTTTCAAAAGACACCTTCAGTCTGAGGAGCCACATCAAACATCAAAGTGGCTAAAAACATCCAGAAATCACTTTGGCCATGATTGCCTCAAGCAAGTCGGCGTGGGAGAGGGCGGACTCAAGAAACCACCTGAGCACCATCAAACTGGTTGACCCACTATGAGAAGATGCAATTTATAAGACTGAGTTTGTTGCAGCTCCTTGTACTGGTGAAGTCCTTTGGATGAAAGATGAAACGTTTCAACACAAAGAAACCATCCAGAGGATCTGACTTAACTCTGTTGGATATTTCTACCTGCATTATTGAACATGAATCAGGATATGCTTTCTAGTGTTTATATTGCTTAAAAATATAGTTTCCTCAAATGATTGTGGGGTGGGGGACGTTGGGGTGCCTGAAGATTAATCTATGGCCACCATTGGCCACCCCATGGCACAGTCGTGAATAAATTTACTCCATCTACTCGCCAGGATCCTTCACACTATGCTGTCTCAGATGAACAAAAAATAAAAAATAGCCTACCTCTGTTCTTCTCCACATTATAACTTCTGCCCACTTGAATATTCTGCACCAAAAACATAATGGTTTACTTGTATTCTCTGTTCAACTACGGTCCAGAAAAACACTCTTCCATAAAACTACAAACGTTCACTATTCAAATCTCACAGTGACGAGGGACATTGATACTGCTCGTTCTTTTCATCTGAAGATAGAGACATACAACCAGGCTTCACTTCCTTCTCTTTACACAGTGAAAGGCTGCACGTCTAACTTAAAGCTTACTGGAGATCCACAGGTTCACATTATCTCTAACCCCACCAAAGTTTGAAGTGGGCCAGTACTTTTCCACTACCTACAACCCGCTGCCATACATACATACTGTATGTAGTACCAGCAATTGAAAAATATCTAACTACTGTGAAAGACAGTATTTGTACATACATCTGTAAACAGGATGCATGCCATCAAGTGGGGTGTTCTTGTATAGAATATGTGTGTGTGAATGTATGTATGTATGTGTGCCACTCTGGAATGGGAGGTTTTGCACACTATATATCAATATCCAACAATTTTCAGTCAGGTCATCTGGACAGTTTTTTTTTTTTTTTTCTGAAACGTTTCACCTTCCATCCGGAAGGCTTCATCAGTCAAGTTTACACAACACAAAACTGATTCTTCCCCCAAACATCTTACTCCAAAGTGGAACAAACCAGTTATGTTGGTGCTAAGATGGTGTCTTTGGCACGCCCCCTCCTCCTGTGCCAGCCCTCTTCCTTGTCGACAGTCATGTCAAACTGGTTCAAAACCAACAAAGTCCATGCTCAATAATCCAGGTATACAATCCAACAATTTTCAGTCGTCAGAAGGCTTGGTTTGGTCCACTTTGGATTAAGCTGTTGGGGGAAGAATCAGTTTTGTGTTGTGTGTTTCCTTGACTGTTGAAGCCTTCTGGATGGAAAGTGAAACGTTTCAGCACAAAAAAAGAAACTGTCCAGATGACCTGATGGAAAATTGTTGGATTGTATACCTGGATTATTGAGCATGGACTTTGTTGGTATATATCAATATGATGCTATAATTATAGTGTCCTAAGCCAAAAATAGTAAACTACGTTTTGAGCATCATGTTAGTCGTTCACATCTTGTATGGCCGAGAATAAAATTACCAACATATTTACTGTTTACTTACAGTAACTCCTCTGTGTGCCGCCGATCAGATTCTGCACACACACATCTAGCTGTGCCTCTGATTTGCTCCTTGTGTCAAAATTTTAATCAACGGTCACTCCTCATGGGTCATGAGTCAGCTGATGCCATAAATCTAACCCAACCAGAAGTCATGTAGAGCGAGTCAGGACTTCCTGTTTTACACCAGAGGTGATGATTGTGATTGGCTTTCATTTTGTACCACTGTCCCTTGGAAAATGTAGACAAGTGGTACACTGTATAAAGTGACAAGTGACGTATGCTATGGATACAATTTTAAAAGTACTAGAGCCCAGCCTATACGGAAATTTTGGCTATCGCCAATACTGATATTGGGAGGGGGAAGCTACCATCGATAACCTATATAATTGCTGAAATTTTTTTGAGCTTTGTCCAACCCCAAGAATCTAAGAAAACAGCAAGTAGAGCGGGTCTTGTTTATATAGCTCAGCTGTTGGCAACTATATAGCTAATCAAATCAGATCCACACTATACGCAGTCCCACAGTAGGTTTACAAATGATGCACTGGTCATAAAAACAGTCTTCCCAATGTGTGTTCACATTTTCTTTCCTTCACTGTTCCCCATAAAGTTATCAAGTGTGTTACAAAAATATAAATTAAACAAAGAAACGCCCTTCCCTGTTCATTGTTTAAATAGTCACGTTTGATGAAGGCCTAATTAGTACTGACCACAGCAGAGTTATGTTTTTCTTTGTAGTACAGATTTCAGACAAACAATGCATTTCATTGAGGATGACAAAGATAATGTTACTAACACTGGATGTCCTCACAAACTGGAATCTCAGTCTGACAGGACTGGTTGGTGTAACTACTGACAGCAGGGCTAATGTTGTGAAGGCGGTGCAACTGAACACTAATGTTAGTTTGCTAACTTGAGAGGCACTTAGGGGCTGAGATGGGGTAGAAGCAGGGCAGCCGACTCAGGACCCAAAAGTCCCAGGCTCGATCCCCAGTCATTCCCACATGTCGTGGTGTCCCTGAGAAATACACCCAATCCCTCATTGCTCCCCGGGTGCTCACAAAGCTGCCCACTGCCCCACCTGGCTGTATTCCAGGTGCTATGGGTTAAATGCAGAGAACCAATTTCACCATTGTATGGGAACATGCAATGCTGACAAACACATAGCACTTTACTAATGACAAACAGGTTGGAGGATTGAAGAGAATTTATTATTGTTGATTTGTTTTATAGATCGTTTAAAATAAACTTAACATACATTCATCAAAATACTACACAGTATTGCTCCCTGCCTCATCTGTGCTGAAAGTGAAACTTAAGTGAACGGCCATGACTTGAAAGTAGTCTTGTGGTTGCAGAGCAAGCCCAAATCATCAGCCCTACACCACCGTGCTTTACTGTTAGTCTGAGATTTTTTTAGCTGTCTAGTTTTCTCCTAACATGATGCTGTGCATTATGGGTAAGCATTCTACTTTGGTCTCATCTGTCCAACTGACATCAAAGTCTTGTTATTCATTCAGATGAAAGTCCTGATGCATGCTCAATTATCCAGTTAGAACAATCTAACAAGGTTAAGTCATATCATCTGGATGGATCCGTCCAGATGACCTGACCTGAATGTTCACCATCTGCTGGATTTACCTTGTTATACATCCACACACTTGATCAGTTGTTGTTTTTTTCTGTGGTTTTCTACAGGAGACGACCTGATGCGCTGCGTCGACCTGTATAACCAGTCCCAGTCCAAGTGGTTCGAGGAGATGGTCACCACCAGCCTGGTGAGAAGACGTTCTGGATGAGTCAGATTGATCCTCAGGTTTCTCTGGGATGTTGTTCATTTTTCCGCTGTCACCTTCAGGAGCTGGAGAGGTTGGAGATGGAGCGAATCGAGATGATCAGGCAGCACCTTTGTCAGTACACAACTCTTCGACACGAGACGGACATGTTCAACCAAAGTGTGAGTACAACATGAAGTCTGCTCTGTCTCAGTGAGACAAAGAGAAACGGCATTGGACGGCACGTTTTAACATCCTTCCTGTGCTTAGATGAGGAATTACCGTGTTTTACCAACTTCAACTAGTTCTTCAGAATATTGATGTTAAATGGGGACAGTAACTTGTTTTTTTGATTCTAAGAAAAACAAAACTAAAACTGAATTCTTTGGAGACGAGTATTCTTTCAGCAGCAAGTCTCTTAGGTATGTCTCCACATGTTTGGTCCTTCCAGCCTCTGGACGTTTAGTCCACATTGGATGGTTCCACGTGTGTCCAACAATTTTTAACTCTTGTATCGTTGTTTGAGGAAAAAATCAGCCACATGTTCATTTTTGTCCTTGTTTTTTATTTTATCTTTTTTTTTATTTTGGTACAGTCAGTAAACATCTTTTTTTTGACAAAGTCTAAAAAATCCTTCTGTATGTGTTACTTTGTCAGAACGGTTTCAAAGGCTCTCATGACCTCACAGTAACTTTACTACACACTCGTGTCCCTGAGGGGAAACATCAGCCACATTACAATACACTGTAAAAACAAATTTTAATCCCATATTTATCTTATCATAAGTTGGGGGGGAGTGGTGCAGAGGTTAGAGAAGGTGGGCTGTGATTGGAAGGCTGCTGGTTCAACTTCCCAGACCGACAACATCAAAATGTGGGTGGGAAAGGTGAAACACCCACACCTGCCTCCACCTTCATTTGTCCCACTCTGTGCCCTTGAGCAAGGCCCTTAACCCCCACCATCTGCTCCTCCGGGTGTCCTAGATAGCAGCTCTCTGCTCCACACAGAGGGCTGTGGTAGCTCGGTGGTCTGTGGTTGTGTCAGGAAGGGCATTCGGTGTAAAAACGATCGTCAAGTCTTCGTGAAAGTTAGTTCACTGTGGTGACCCTTGAAGAAGGGAGCAGCCTAAAGATAAACATTTAAAAATAGAAAAAATCATACAAAATAATGCATTCCTACATTTATTTATTTATTGTTACTAAACATTCAATTTTTCATATTAGCACACTAGATGCTGCTCTGCTTTTATTTTTGAGAGACACTGAAAAAATCTGCCAGGATCAACTCACAGCGGAAAACTTAACATCTGCCTCGACCAGAATTGCTGCGAAGTCCCGCCTCTCATCTCGGCCGACAAAGTCCTTTTAGTTTGGGTGTAAAAAGCAAAAACTCACTTGTAGTGTGCTCATGTAAACATTTGGTACTAAAACTTTGTTTCGCATGCATGCAGGCTGCAGAATGAAACGCTCCACGGCTGACTGCCGGACGTTTGTCCCGAGGCAAGACGTCATTAGCTGATGGACCATGCACCTGCAGCTCTTTAGTATTTCTGGGTCAGTACAGGCAAAGAACTATTTAAAACTAGAGATTCTATTGTGGGCAGAGTTAAAAAATATATAAAGAAAATAGTGTTTTTTGTTTTTAAATTAAAATGTTTAGAATAAAAACCTCTGTGTTCAAAGACGAGTACTGGTAAGTTTGACCAAAAACAAGACCTCGGTTTTGTTTATGGATTCTGAACTCTAGTTGTGGTGAAAAACATCTGCCAACAGATGTTCATCAACAGATGTTCATCCATCATCCATCGTTGGTCCGGAGGGTCGTCACAAAACCCTGGACTGGAATAAAATAAATTCAAATAATTAAAATAATTTTGGATGTGCTAAAACACAAGACCTTTGAAGAGTTCAAATAAAATAATATATATTTTTTAATATTATATTTTTTGAATTTCAGATAAAAGACTCGACTAGTTTTTTGTGGGGAAAATAGTATTTTTGAGCAGCTAAATCAGGTGGTGGCTTGTTCCCCCACGGATCATGAATGTTTCATATTTAACTGATGAAACCAGTGGAGTGTTGCTGCAGCGGTCCTGCTGGACCTCCGTCCCATTTTCACATCTCTGAAAGACTCAAACAAGTTTTCATGGAGGAAATGTTTCTTTATTTTGCACCACTCGTCTTGCCTTTAAAATCTGATCACTCAGCCCCAACCCCTGAGCATGATGCTGCCACCACTGTGCTTTGTTGTGGGGATGTTCTCGGCATGACGACAGGTGTTCGGTTTGCCTCAGACAGAGTGTTTGACAGCCTAAAGGTTTGAGTTTGGTCTCCTCTGACCACAACACGTCTTTTGTTGTCACTTTTTCACGAATCCAGCTCTGCAGCTCATAAATGGACAGATCCTCACGTCTCTGCAGAGCAGCTGCAGCTCCATCAGGATTCTCTCAGCTTGCTTCACTGATTGATGCCCTCTTTGCCTGCTCTGTGAGTTTTGATGGATGAACATCTGTTGGCAGATGTTCTTCTCCACAACTTAGTCTCTGACCTGTGTGGAGAGTTTCTTGGTCTTCATGCTGTCTCTTGCTTGCGAGTAGACCTTAGAGGTGTTGAACTGGTGTTGAGTTTGATGATCACAGCAGATGTATGTTATTTGACATGTGTAGGTAATTTGATACACGGAGCACCAACAGGTGGATCTTATGTAACTAACACGAGTCTTGCTCTGGTTGAAATAAAAAAAGTGAATACTTCTGCATTTAACTTCAATAATGTGAAATGTTGATCGTAGAAATTTTATTTAAAATCAATTAGTCCGTTTAAATTGTACGTTGTACAGGACCAGAAAAAGAAGAATATGAAGAATGTGAACATTGTGCAAACCACTTTATTGTTTTGTTTTGATTCGCCCACACTTCTTGCTTAGACTTTTTAAAATTAGTAAATTATTTGCAGAAGTTGCTGCAAGCATCTGTTTGCACTGTAGGTGCGGAAACTCACTAAATTAAACTCCCCCAAGATGTATAGAAGTCGTCAGAAAAGTTCTGAAGGAGTCTTCGTTTGTGACTTCTGCTGAGATTGTTTTTAAATCTACTTTAGTTTTGTTTTGTTTTGGGAAGTTCTGGGTTCAATCCCTGGGTTGGGCCTTTCTGGGTAGAGTTTGCATGTTCTCTCCGTGCTCCGTGGGTTTTCTCCACAGACCAAAAACAGGGTGCTTTCAGGTTCAGGCCTCCTTTGCAAAAGAGATCTGAGATCTCAATGGGATTTGTCTGGTTAATTAAATAATAATAATAGTTTGAACCGTAAAACATCCGTGTGTTCATGAATATTCTGTTGTAGTTCAAGTCCAAGAATCTTTGTTATCTCCAAGGGACAATTTGTTTCACAGTCAGTAGTCATACAAAACATTCACACTAGACAAGACATTGAGACATTAAAATAACAGAAGTCATCATTATTCAGTGAGAAGCCTGATCGCTACAGGGATGAATGAGTTTTTCAGTCTGTTCATCCTACATCTGAGCAGCAGATACCTGGATGGAAACAACCTGAACTCACCACGGGGTGGGTGATCAGGATCTGCCAGAATCATCCTGGTCTTGTTCCCTGACCTCACCTTGTGTAGGTCAGTGAGGTTCTGTAGGGCTATACCAGCAGTTTTGCTGCACATCCTGACAATCCCCGAGAGTTTGTTCCTGTTTTTACATGATAAAAATCCAAAACAAGACGAAGGTGAAAGTTAAGAGACTCAATAAAACATGAATAAAACATTCTTGTAAAAGTAGAATCAACATTAAAACCACAGAGCTTCCAATAAAAATACATTCTCTGGTGGGCCAACTTACAAAGTGAGTTCACATGGGGGTCAAAAGTCAGTTTGTCATCAAGAACAGCTCCCAGATATTTATATTAATGCACCACCTCAGCAGCTTCACCGTTAATGACCACAGGAGCAGCAACTGAAGAGTCTTTTCTAAAATCAATGACCATCTCCTTTGTCTTATAAACATTTAACTTTAAAAAGGAAGACTCACACCATCCAGTGAAGTCCCTGACCACAGGTCTGGGTCATCACTGCTCAGAAGGGACAGGGTGACAGAGTCATCAGCAAACTTTAAGATGGGACGCTGAGGGAACTGGCTGCATGTACTGTAGTTAAGCTGAAGCTGGGGTAAATCTGGGGGCGTCAACACCCTCAGCATTTTTATACAAACTGCAAGTTCTTCACCTGTGTCCAGTCAGTTTCTCTCAAATGTTTTAGACTTAAAAAGACATGAAAAGTTAGTCTGATTTTACTGTTCGAGTCAGGGACTGACTGCATCATGCTTGTTTCAGATTGAAAACTTTTTTTCCTACAAAATAAAATAAATCTAACAGTGTTACACATAATCCATATGATGACTGCAAGGAGGCAAAAAGAAACTGTCTGCAGCTCAGGTACCGAGGTGATAAGAAATCATTGCCCCCCAGTGGTGAGACAGGAAGTACAACACTTTCAGCTGGCATTAGGAAGACACAAGAAACCATCCGTCCATTATCTTTATCTGCTTCTTATTTTTTGGGTCACGGAGGTCACTGGTGCCCATATCCAGCCATCACAGGACAAGAAACCATGGCAGGGAATAAATAAAAACGGTGAATATTAATTATATTTTCATCATAAATCCTGCTGCAGTTAAACAGTAAGAAGCCATTTTACCCCATTAAGATGATTACTAAATAGTTAGCTAATGCTAATACGCTAATATGAGCTAATATTCTAATAGGAGTTATGTTGACTCTGAAAAAGAAAATGCAACATGAAAGTCTTAGTTTATTTGTGGTCATGTGTGAAGGAGTATAGAAGGCGTGAAGGGGAGGCAAAGATTCAGGTCAGTTTAAACTCATTTATTAAAAAATAACAGACGTGAAGAGAAGGTTGACTTCAGGATGAAATACTCAGAAGATACGATGGCCTTTAGAGTGGCCAGGATTGAAAGAGTTGCTCTAAAATTGTCTTATTCAAAGTGTTTACAGATGAACTTGTTGTCTTTTTTTTTTACTTTTGTTTTCATCTGAAAGTTAAAACCTACTGTATGTTTATTTATCCATCTTATGGCTCTCTTCATCTTTTTACACAGATAATTATTATTAAATTGCAATGAGGGCAAAAACTTTACCTTACAACAATATTAGTAAATGGTCCTGTCACCAATGCTTTGTCACAATATTAATAAATACAAATGCTATAGAGTGACAGCTCCTTAAACAAACTTCCTTTTTTTTTTTTTTTACAATAAAATAAGAATATTTCACATTTAGGGTTAAAACTGTAACTTTAAACTACAGAACCTGAAGTGAAGCAGTTAAAACTGGAGAATAATTCCCTGAATGTTGCTGAAGACTAAACTGGTAAAGCTAAAAAAGAGCAGAAAACTACCAGTAGCTAAAAAATAGCAACCAGCTAGCAAACGCTTAGCTAAAATAGCAAAAGCTTTGCTGAGATATATACTGTATATATTATTTTTTATTTATTAAATTTTAATGTTTAAATTTTTTTATAAAAAATTACTGTAAAACACATTGGTAACATTGCTGTTTTAAATGTGCTTTATAAATAAAGTTGACTAAAAATAAGACAAACCTAAAACAAAGATACAAAAGGAGTTTGGAGGAACTGAGGAGATCTCAAAATATTTCTACAGGAAAATATTTGTGAATAAAAGTTAGTCTGCAAGAACCGCACACACACACACACACACACACACACACCAGAAAATCATTAGTTTGAGTGTTGAATGGGCATCACACAGTCATTCATCCCTCAGAGAAGCTGCTGAAAATGGAGGTTCGCTTGATCTTGACCAATACACATCCTCAGTACTGGGTTACATTAGTACATGTACTGACACAGTCTCCACTATCAGAAATGTTAAAAGCTACCCAAACAGAAAACCTTGGCTGAATGCAGAGGTGCGTACCCTGCTGGAAGCCAGGAACACTGCCTTCAGGTCTGGAAACTCAGAGGAGCTGAGTAGGACAAGAAAAGAGCTGGTTGCTGGTATTAAGAGGGCCAAGGCCACATATGCAAAGAGGATCGAGGGTCAATTCATCTCACAAGACCCTCGGAGCATGTGGAGGGGCATTAAGTGCATAACAGATTATAAAGGAAGGAGCGAACAATGCCCCAAAGACCCATCTCTGCCTAATGCCCTCAACAAGTTCTATGCACGCTTTGAAGACCCGAACAGACCACCCAGCACCAGACTCACCTCGCCACCGGATGAAGAGCATCTCAGCGTGACCTCAGCAGAAGTAAGGAGTACCTTCAGGAGGATTAATCCGCACAAAGCAACTGGCCCAGACAACATCCCCGGAAAAGTGTTGAAGGAATGTGCTGATCAGCTCTGAGGTGCTGGCAGACATCTTTAACACCTCACTTACCCTGGAGACAGTTCCCACCTGCCTGAAGACTGCCACCATCATCCCAGTCCCAAAAAGCTCTACAGTGACTGGTCTGAATGACTATCGGCCAGTGGCCCTCACCCCGATAGTCGCTAAATGCTTTGAAAAACTGGTCATGACTCACATCAAAACAACCATCAACATCAACGAGGACCCTCATCAGTATGCATACCGTGAGAACCGATCAACAGAGGATGCAATCTCCTCTGTGGTCCACACTGCGCTCAACCACCTGGAGCAGAAAAACTCTTACGTCCGTATGCTCTTTGTGGACTTCACATCCGCCTTCAACACCATGATCCCCCAAACCCTGATGGACAAACTATCCACACTAGGACTAAGCCCCTCCATTTGCAACTGGGTACTAGACTTTTTAACAAACAGACCACAGTTAGTGAGGATCCACAACTTCTCCTCCTCCACCATAACCCTCATCACTGGCTCTCCTCAGGGATGTGTGTTGAGCCCCCTCCTGTTTACTCTGCTCACATATGATTGTGCAGCTACCCATCCAGGCTGTCACATTGTAAAGTTTGCAGATGATACAGCGGTGGTGGGATGCATCACAAACAATGATGAGTCCAGCTACAGGCAAGAGGTGGAACACCTGGAGAGCTGGTGCAAAGAGAATAACCTTCACATCAATGTGAAGAAGACAAAGGAGATGATTGTGGACTTCAGAAGGAACAAAAACATCTATACCCCCCTGAACATAAGAGGATCTGCGGTGGAAGTGGTCTCCAGCTACAAGTACTTGGGTGTACACATGAATGACAACCTCAGCTGGAGCAACAACACCACCAGCCTGATCAAGAAAGCTCATCAGAGACTCTACTTCCTCAGACGGCTGAGGCGAGCTGGTCTGGGAAGCTCAGTCCTCACCTCCTTCTACAGGTGTGCAGTGGAGAGCATCCTGTGCTCCAGCATCAACGTGTGGCATGGAGGCTGCACAGCTGCAGAAAGAAAAGCTTTGCAGAGAGTGGTGAAGGCTGCACAGAAATCTGTTGGAATCAGCCTCCCCACCATCACAGACATCTACACCTCCAGTTGCAGGAAGAGGGCCACCTGCATCATGAAGGACCCCACTCACCCAGCACACACACTTTTTGCCCCACTCCCCTCAGGAAGGAGGTTGAGGAGCATTAAGTGTAGAACCACTAGACTGAGGAACAGCTTCTACCCTGAGGCTGTTAGACTCATGAATCTCTAACGAGAATAATCACTGTGAAAAACCACATCATGTTGCTGCTGATCTGTTTCAATGTTGATGTGTTCATGCGTGCACATCTGCTCACAGACTCATGTTCATGTTTGTGCTGATGTTCAATGTTTTATGTTATGAGTGCTTAGTGTATATTTAGTTGATGTTTTTCTTAGTTCATATCTTAGATGTTATTACTGTTTTTCTTATACATTTTATTGTTGGATGTAACTGGGACCCCGTGTACATAATTTCGCTCCACCACATGTACCACATGAGGTGCGAATGACAATAAAGAAACTCCGACTCTGACTCTGACAACTTCGCTTCCTGTATTTAAAGTGGTACTTCCAGTCTGACACCAGCAGAGGGAGTCACTTCCTAAACCCTCTGAGTCAAACAGGAGGGATCAACTGCACAAATATGGTACATGCAAAAGGCTTCCTGTTCTAACATTTTTAATTAATTTATTTATGTTTGTTTGTTTGTTTGTGTTCAGACCGTGGAGCCGGTGGACCAGCTCCTGCAGAGTGTGGACTCGGCCAAAGACAGAGAACTGTGGGTGCGGGAGAACAAGACGGGTGAAATCAGGCCGGTGGACATAGAGATCTGACCTCAGAGGTGTCTGATGAGCAAAGAAACTGTGACCCAGAAGCTCCAGGTCTGAGGACGTGGCTGTTAGTGTATGTCTGTGATTCGGATCAGTAACAACCCTAAACACTGATCCATACATGACTCGCAACAAACGGAGGAACAGCTGGTTGCTCTCATCCCTGCTGAGATGATGTCAGTTTTTGGGAGGAGTTTAAGCTTTGTTTTAACGAACTGATTCCTAGTTCTGAAAAACAAACAAAAAAACAACAACTGTGTGAAATATTTACTAAAAGAATCTCAGGTGAGGTGACTGATGAAGCAGCATCAACAGTGTAAATGTGTACATATTAAACTGCTCTATGTCACTCAGAAGTGAAACGATAATAACTGCCATCATTTAACAAAAACTATCGATAATGCAGTTAGACCTAAGAATATCGTTTCATGGCTGTAGCTCATATAAGATCAAATTACGAAAGATCAAAGATGTAATACTAATATCTGTGCTGAAGTGGGAACTGGTTGCAAAGCCTTGTGCCTTTAGCAACTGTTGCCATCTTTGATATATGTTGCTGACTAACTACTATTGCTATCTTTAGCATTGGTTGCAGATATCTTTGCAAGCTCTGTTACTTTTAGAAACTGCTGCTTCCTGTAGCATCTGTTGCTTCCTGTAGCGTTTGTTGTTACCTGTAGCATCTGTTGCCACCTGTTGCATCTGTTGTTACCTATAGCTTTTGTTTAAAAAAGTTAAATCTGGTCCTCTGGACATTCAAAAAACCAAAACAAAGCAAAACAACAAAAAAATGTAGAAACGTTTCGTCTCTCATCCCTCGGATGAGAGACGAAAGAGACATCCCTTCAGGGATGAAGATGTGCACATCCTGGATAGAGAGGAACGATGGTTTGAGAGAGGAGTAAAGGAGGCCATCTTTGTGAAAAGAAACCGTCCATCGTTAAACAGGGGTGGAGGCCTACGTGTTCAATTGTCCCCCTCTTACAATGCTGTGATTGCTAGTATCACTCAGCCCTCTGTGAATAGTAAACAGCCATCAAGGTGCTAATGATCCATTGTTAGGCTGATGGTCCTTCTTGAGCATGTGATCAGTTGGTTTTGGTTGTCAGCAGCAAAACTGGTTGATCCACTCTGAGAAGGTGCTATTTAAGAGACTGAGCTGAATACAGCACCTCAGACTGAGGAAGTCTCTCGGATGAGAGACGAAACGTTTCTACATTTTTTTGTTGTTTTGCTTTGTTTTGTTTTTTTGAATGTCCAGAGGACCAGATTTAACTTTTTTAGATTTTGCTACCTGGATTATTGAGCATGCATCAGGATATAGCTTCTGTTGCTTCCTGTAGCATCTGTTGCTTCTTGTAGTGTCTGTTGCTACCTGTAGCATCTGTTGCCACCTGTTGCATCTGTTGTTACCCTTAGCATCTGTTGCTACCTGCAGCATCTGATGTTAACCTATAGCTTCTGTTGCTTCTTGTAGTGTCTGTTGCTACCTGTAGCATCTGTTGCCACCTGTTACATCCGTTGTTACCCTTAGCATCTGTTGCTACCTGCAGCATCTGTTATTACCTATAGCTTCGTAGCATCTGTTGCAACATCTGTTGCTACTTGTAGCATCTGTTGTTACCCGTAGCATCTGTTTCTACCT